ACCAATGAATTAACCAATACACACAACATCACAGACACTAATTGATCAGAATCCCAATCTACTTATTTCAATTTAAGTAACAGGGTAATGTAAGTACAGGTCATTTAAACAAAACTGTTGTTCATGGCTGTGGATTTGAACTTGTACACACTGTACAATAGTTACATAAAAAAACGATCGAGGAGTGTTTGTACCAACTATCAAGGGATTTAACTGAGTATTAAAAAATAAAATTATTTACACTAGTAGGCCGATTCCAAATGACTCTTGAGGGAGATGCGGATCGGCAAAAGAAGGACTGTATTTTTACAATCGAATAACATCTAGAACTCAAAACAACTATCAACAAACACCAAATTCACAATTCTCAATACAAATGTTAAGGCAGTTCTACTATACGGGACGGAATCATGGAAAACTACAAAAGATATTATTCAGAAGATACAACAACAACTGTCCATCAGCAACAACCTACTGTAGGAGAGAACAAACCAAATTCCAGCGGAGGAGGAGATCAGAAATAAGCGCTGAAGGTGGATAGGACACATATTGAGGAAAGCACCCAACTGCGTCACAAAGCAAGTCCTCACTTGGAATCCTCAAGGACAGAGGAAAAGTAGAAGGCCAAGGAACACATTACGCTGAGAAATGGAGATAGACATGAGAAGAATGTACAAAAATTGGACAGAATTGGTTGGAGAATATTGGCCGGTGGCCTATGTTCCACTGGGGGGCAATAGGCGTAAGTAAAATTAAGTGTAACAAGCAAATAATTTTTTTAAGAAAATTGAAATGCCTATAATGACCTTTGACTAAAGTTATTTTTATTACTTTTATTAGTAGGTCATATTCTCAAAACTACCTACCTACCTACCTACCTAAACAAGTTCACTTTTTTTTACAGTTTGAACTTTGAATAAAAAGTAAGAGTTTACTAATGGTGACAGTTACTAACCAGAAGTAGATATATATATATATATATTTTTTTTCATCAAATAAAAAGAAAACAATTAAATATATAAATTATATGTAATTTATAATAAAGACAAATTTAGAAAAAAAAATAATGAATAGAACATATGTAGGGTAGCAGCATACATGTAACAATAAAGTTGAAGAGACATCACTGGGTTACTACTATTACTGTATACAAACAATTGTAAAGTAAAGCTTGACAATTAGAAATGTCATAAAAAATAGAAGGAGACAATACACAATTAATATTATTATTATTATTATTATTATTATTATCATTGTTTTATGCAGCCTAGAAAACATCGCATCGATAAACTAATTCGATCGTAGTATAAATGACTTCAATCCGTTGTACGCAGATACACACACACACGAACACGCACATGTTTATATGGATATATATACATATATATACATATACATTACAGACCGACATTAACTTTAAGAGAGACATACACTGGATAGTGGCAGTAGTAGTAGTAGTCGTAGTAGTAGTAATAGTTTGACCTATAAATCGATTTATGCATACTTTTCAATCGCATTCCACTCCTCATCGATCTGGCAGGAAAAATCAATAGAAACAACCGTAAGTACTACTAGGCTTTATCAGAATGCCGATTTTGCCCAACATAACCACCACCCAGTTCAGTTTCTTTATTTTTTGGGGGGGGGAAAACTTACAGAAACAGAAGGAAAAGGAGAGAGCGAGAGAGATAGAAAAGATGAAGAGGAAGAAAAATAAAATTAATGTAAAATAGAAAAATGGATTCATCAAGTAAACTGTTGTTTGTTATTGTTATCCGCTTTACACGATGAAAGTGAAATCAATCGATCGAGTGTCAGATAGAGAAAACGAAAGAAAAAAAATCAATGTAACAGTCGAATGAAAGGAGATAAAACTTTCGAAAACCAGAGGGAAAAAAATAGGACATCAGTTACAGTTGAAATATTAATCATTCATTGAATTTAAAGAAAAAAACTTTAAAAATGTCCAAGAAAAACATGTGGATAAATATTCAGTAGTCGGTATCCACGGCCCCTGCGACACACGGGATTCGAACCCGGGACCTTTGGACCAGTGAAAAACCAGACAAAGCAATCATTAACATTAAAGAACAGCGAGACAGGTGGGTAGAACACGTTGAAGAACTCTTGAGAAAACTAGCCCAACTGAATCCACCCAACATCGAAGTAGCACCTACGGACCTTCCAATTGATATTGATCTACCAACAATTGAAGAGATCAGCATGGCCACCAGACAAATCAAGAGCGGTAAAGCAGGAAAACCAGACAACATAATAGATGAGGAACTGGAAACAGACAAAGAAGTAACTGCATAGATGTTTCCCGCTCCCTTCAGCAAGATTTGGGAGGAAGAACAAGGAAAAACAGACTGGAAAGGACAACTCTTCAAGATAGCAATACAAAGGTATTACCCTATTATCAATACCAAGAAAAATTTTCAAGTGTTGTTAAACAGAACAAAGATTCAGCAGACACCCAACTTCGAGATCAACAGACTGGATTCTGTAAAGAGTGATTATGTACCGACCAAATCGCATACGATGCTATGGATCATTGTCGAACAATCGACTGAATGGAACTCACCACTCTACATCAACTCCCCTGACTGTGAGAAAGCATTTGACAGCGTAAACAGGATGACACTATGGAGACTTCTTTGACACTACGGTGTATCTGAGTAGACAATCAAGATCATACGGAATACATTACAATGTAATTATGGAGAGCAGCTCAGAGATTTATTACAAGTGAAGACCAGTGTCAGACAAAGTTGCTTAATCCCTTATCCTTTCTCTTTACCTTGGTGGTTGACTGAATTATGACGACGTCAACATGTTAGGAGAATCAAGGGATACAGTTGATTGATATGATGTAACTGAACGATGTATGCTTTGCAGATTACCTGGTTCTTCCACCCTACGCAGAACGAATACTGTAGAAGTCAGCCAGTGTGTAGCAGCAGTCTCTGCTGAAGTGAGTTTGAACAAACACAAAGGAAAATGCAATATCTGATATAATAATACAGCTTTCACTAATCAAATCACACTCAACAGAGAAGTCTTAGGAGATGTGAAAAGTTTGGTATACCTTGACAGCATCATTGTTAAATTAAGGTGGATCTGATACCGATGTAAAGTGATACGTACGAAAAAATATATATATTAATAGAATTTTGTATAGTATTCATAAGTAATAAGATATAGTTTGACATACAAAGTACTATCATCAACTTACCAATATGTCTTCTTGTCAACTCAATTTGATGTCCTCTATTCACATTGGATAATAGACCTAAACAAAATCGATTATGTCTATTCGGATCGGTGAAACCATCAACTGTTAAACATGGACTAGAACAATGAAATGTATCGCCGACACGTGTATTCATTTCATAATAATATAATGAACACCAATATTCCGGTTCTTGATAAGCTACTGAAGTCATTTCATTCCCATCAATTAGTACATCACTTAACATATCTGGGATGGGGGGGAACAGGAAAAAGAGAAATGCACCAATGAAATATTGACTACTGTGAAATGATTTTAAGGTTTCCATGTAAGGCTAAATCAATAATAATAATAATAACAATACAGATAATGAAAAGATTGAAAAATGTAGAAAATTACCACGAACTTTAATGTATATTGATTACTGTACACATTTCGTTGAGAAAAGAAAACAACATTCATATTGATTAGGAATAAGTTACTTTTTGAAATCATGAAATGATCAATATTAGACCTGCATTAGAAAGCTGGTAGCATTGTACGGCTGTTTCGTCCTAGTATGCGACTCATCAGAAGTGCGCATCCATAACTCCTGCAACTCGCCGGACTCGAACCCACGACCTTTGATGGGGCGCGCAAACACCTGATGAGTCCGATATCAGGATGAAACAGTCTACCAAGTTTCTTATGGTGATCTAACATTGGTCGATCCACGATTGCAAAAAAAAATAATCTTTCGCCTTGTAAATAATTGATAGTGAGCAATCAAGTAGTATTAGTCAAGGGTTAATTGTGTTTCAAAGAGAAAATATGATATATTTTATTAACTACATTAAGTCTACAAAACAATATACTTTGTTCTACTAGAATTTTCTTAAAGAAAATAATTTCAATATAAGGTTGAACAATGTGTAAGTGTATAATAATTAGGCATTTATAGTACTGTATGTAAGTAACCTCACAGAATCACGAAATGAAGGATATTAATTTAAAGGTACTAAACGAAAAATATTTTGGTCTATAGAATGGATATGCACTCCAGAAGTAAATGCACGTTAATAGAAATGGTTACGTTTACGATTGTTAGTTAAATCCACTAAAAATCTACCACCAAGATATGAAACCAGTTGATGAAGTCATAGACAGTTGTACTAAGCCATGTTGGTAGATATAGACTACTTGGTTGAGGTGAGCGTGACAATCGTAACTGATAGTTCATCATCATTGATCAACAGCAACGTAGAACTTTGCACAGAAGTACAGCAGTTCAAGTTGCCATACCAGATTAGCACAGAGACACAACTGTCAATTCAAATCCCATAGTAGTACAGGTAGTAAAAGTATTAGAAGTAATCGGAGAGATTACGGTTCGAAGATGCTATTAAAGAAGTACAATTTAGTGAGGTAAATTTAGAAAGACAAAGATAGAGATAATGAGGTATTCAGAAGGTTAGAATTTCATAGAACACAAAGAGTAAATGCACCTGCGCCACTGATAGTTACAGACTTTGGATCAGATGGATAAAAATCGTTTGCAATGGTGCAGATGCATCAGTCCCTGATCTTCTCCGAATTCTAATCTTCTTTCTGAATTCCTTATGAATTTATTCTCTTTTCAAAATTATTTTACTGGATTATCCTTCTCCAATCGTATCTAAGATTCCTAAACTTTTCTATTACCGCTGATACTGCTGCAATTTCTATTACTGTGGGATTTGGACTGAAAATTCCATCTACCTGAGGTATTATGGTATGTCAACTTGCACTGATGAACGTACATACCAAGTTTTATGTTGTAGCCGAATGAATGACTGATTGGTTCAAAATCTACCACTATAGTGTAAATATAATCAATCATCATCATCAGTATTGAGCGTAGCAAATAAAAAATTTGCGTGAACTTGAGATGTCATATTATATCAATAAGACAAGATGAAATTCGTATGATGAACATTATAGAAACATTTGGTAGTATAATCATAGTAAGAAACACTAAACGCTGAAATCAGTTTAAAAATACAAGAGTGAAATCGATGCATGAAACGATACATTCTACATATGACTGCTGATTTTCAGATTGCAACGAAATATAATTCAATAATGACGTGAATATTCGTTATCAGTAAAATAAATTAATTGTACCGAATCAAATGATTGAACTATTTGACCCAAAATAAAACAAATGCACACATCTTGGACAATGTAACACATGAAACTCTATCTACATTGAATAGAATCGCTATTGGCTACTGGAAAAAAAATCGCCAAGACATTATTCAAACACTTAGAAGATTGGATTTGTCGTCTACGGGTTAGTTATAAACTTGAATGAAAATAGCTCACTGAAAAGTCGTAAAATGTGCTAACTAATGAGGAAATTCTCGGAGTTCTTGTGAGAAGACTTCACCAGTGGAGTTCAAACGTGTCCAGTAACTACCAAAGACAAGTGGGTGAGATCGCGCAAAATCCCTAGATCAATCAGAGTTAGACATTAACACTGCTGGATGCCGTCCCAGTGGTCTAGAGGTTAGGCGTTCACGCACAATACCGAGGGTCTCGGGTTCGAAATGTGCGAGGTGCAGGATTTGTGGATGCGCACTACCACTGATGAGTCCCATACCAGGACGGAACGGCCATCTTTCAATGCTTCCAGGTTTATAATGTTGATCTAACAATGATTGATCGATGAGTTTAAATGTGTAAAAACAATAATCTCCATAACTGTAATTAAAAAAGCTACGTCATTTTTTTGTTTTCTTCTCACACTTTTAATGCCTTTTTGGAATGTGTAGGTGTGTGTTTACTCTTTTATTTCTGTCATAACTACGACTCTAGTTCAATAAACTTTTCATACAAAACACTAAAACATTTTAACATGTATATAAGATGAATGAATAATATTTCATCGGTGTGAAAACTGTTTCCATCAAATAGATGATCTTATATCTTTCAGATAAATAATACCTAAAGTTATCAATCTACACACACGCACACACACACACCAGCACACAGACACACACACACAAACAAACAACCAAACAAAAACCTATTTAGACATCAAATGAAATTCTCAATAATATAAAGAAAAGAATGTCAGTAAGCTCTTCTCATTCAAACTTATATATCATCATCCGCATCATCACCAAACACATGCATATACACAGACACAGACACACACACACACACTTGTGTATACACATCATTTATTGGAATTACAGATTTCGCATTGAAATGATTGAATTGTAATTTTACTATACTGGTCAGCATACAATTCAATTATTATTATTATTATTATTATTATTATTATTATTATTATTATTCAGAGTTGTATGAATGAACGCATTGAATCTACACATGAAATACAAAACCGCCACCAGCATCAATACCACCCTAAAAAAAATATTTGTGGCCTAGACTAATTAATTACACATGTAATAATAACATGACCAATGGTAATAATAATAATAATAATTAATAAATAAATATTAAAATAGAAAATGAAGATTACACAAACGATTAACATAGGTCTATGAGTAATAAACAATAGTAATAATAGTAGTAATAATCAATTCGTTAGAAAAAAAAAGATTTGAATGAATGCACTACGGGGCAAATCAACATGACAACTATCTAGTTCTTTTTTTTTTCTTTATTTTATATTATTTGCCAATATGATATATGACAAATAATGGATCATGGTTGAATATTGAATAGAAAGATGATACACATTATTCAGTAACATATTCAGAAACATATATATATATATATATATATATATACTTGTGCGTAAAGGCTCAATCAATCAACAGCAACGTTGAACTTTGCTCGTACGTACGCACGTACATCAGTTCAAGTTGCCATACCACATTAGCACAGAGATGCAATTATAAATTCAGATCCTAGAGGAGTAGATGTAGTAGAAGTATTTATTAGCAGTAATCGGAGAGATTAAGGTTCAAAGATATTATTCAAAAAATAGAATCTAGTGAAATAAACTTAAAAACAAAAAGATAAAGTGATAAGGAATTAAGAAGTTTAGGATTTGAGTGAACTCAAAAAATGAATGCATCTGAACCAGTGCAAACAGTTTTGATCCATGTCATTCAGGGTCTCTAACAATCGATTACTATCATTTCGTAGTCAGTCAGTCAGTTACAACGTAGAACTTCGTATGTAAGTACATCAATTCATGTAACTGATCAGATCAATTACGTCTTCTCACTGTTCTATCAAAATTTATAAAAGGGACTAATTGTTTTAAGTATAATTCAGTGAAATAAGTTTAGAAAGACAAAAGTAGAGGTGTTGACGAATCCAGAAGATCAGGATTTGAGAGAACATAAAGAGTGGATACACCTGCGCCATTGCAAACGATTTTGAGCCACGTCATTCAACGTCTCTAACCATCGGTGACGTTCGTCTCGCGGACGCCAACCAGGTGGCCTACATCTGCCAACATGACTTAGTCCACTTGTCAGTGATGTCATAGATTTGTGCCATGTTTTGGTTTGGCCACTTTTGGCTTACTCCCAACCTATTCCTACACTGTAAAACATAGCTCGTCGAGGCAGTCGGTGGTTGGGCATTCGTAACACATGTCCCAACCACCTCAACTGATGCAGTTTCAAAACTTCGTCTACTGACTTGCCATTCTTACCCAGGACCCGTATCCTAACAACAGCTACTTTATTACAACTTAGTAGTAAACATATCAGAATAGTCAAGTCATGGTTTGAAAGTGAACCCTTTGATTAATGATACTGCTACTACTCGTCCGCCTAGGCTGAGTTGGTGTACATTGGAACTTGAACCTACAAGAGGTTGAAAGTTGGATGGTCTAACGAATAAGCCACTCCTCTGACTATATAAACTGCAGTACTAAGTAGTTGTGAGAACAAACGTGGGAAAGTCTCAGACATCAATTTCTGACCAAAAGTTTTACTAAATTTCCTACATATTCTTACGTACAACAATGTAGATATATCTTAAAGGTGAACTAATTAATCAAGCATAACTCAAAAGCTTCTAAGCATAAATACGAATGTAAAAGTATGTTGATAACTTAAGAGCAAGATGAATTTACTTGATCAATGTAGTAGATGTGAATACCGTTTAATTGGAAAAACAATATATGATTTCAAAGTTTAATTACATTTTTTTAATCTTGTGCAGTTTTATTAGGTAGTGACTCATAATGAGATATTGATCTATGCGTTCGAATCTAATCAAATTACACTGAATAATTACAATAGATTAAAGATGTGATATACGATTGGCTTACACAGAGCTGCTTTATGTTTACTGCTAAGTCTGCTACTAAAAAGTCGAATACACGATACAATCTTGGCACAATTTATAAGACAACCCCCCCTCACTTTAGCAAATGAAAAGCGGGAAGAAAATCAGAGGAAATCTTTATACCCCAGTGTCGAAATGTATAAAAACATGTGTACTTATAGTTTTTCGTGCAGAGTGAAAATATCACCAAAATCATCCAATCAGCAACTAGAGATGTTACATCATCGTCCAATCACTTTATGCCACATCAACAGCCTACAAAATTACATCGAGCCGTGATTAGATGGGAAATTTTGACCCCCCTTAAATTATAAAAACACAAGAACTAGTGTAAAAACATCATACTGGGTTTTTTATTGATTACAGTAATGCCGATTGTACTGCGATGTGAACGTAGTAAAGTGCGTTCTCATGACAAAAGGAGAGGGTTTGAAAAGGTTAACTTTAAAGACGACACACATTTTCTGACCTGGTTGAGGCCCACGAGACGATAGTAATCGATGGATAGAGACCCTGAATGACATGACTCAAAAGCATTTACAATGACGCAGGTGAATTCATTCTTTGTGTTCTTTCAAATCGTAACCTTCAGAATTACTCATCACCTTTATCTTTTTTCTTTCTAAAGTTATCTTACTGAATTATACTTCTCAAATCATATATTTGAACCCTAATCTTCTCCATTACTGCTAATACTTCTACTACGTCTACTACTGTGGGATTTGGATTGACAATTACATCTCTGTGCTAATGTGGTATGGCAACTTGAACTGATGTACGTACGTGCGTACGTACGAGCAAAGTTCAACGTTGCTGTTGATCGATTGATTGACATCAATTACAAAGACACTTCGAAACAATATTAATTTAGTCACATTTTCATAAAAAAAACTAAATGAATACATGAATACATACCTAGATCCATATTGTCATCTTCACTAATACAATTTTCTTCAACTGATGACAATGTACCAGGAGAGTTGATTGATGGTCCAGCACCAGCAATACTAGGAGCTTTTTGTGTTGTAGATGAGGAAACTGATGATGATGGACCCATAAAATTTGAACTCAAATTATCAGTATTTGGGCCTAAACATTGAGAATCGTTAGAACGATCTTCTTGACAAGCAGACCCAGGAATTGGATAATCATTCATACTAAGTGACCTAGAAAGTTATGATATTAGGCGAAAAAATTTACTTTTTAGATGATATTTTTAAAACGTAATCAAGGAGCTTATTTAACAGTTCAGATTGTTAAAAAGATGGACAAGACAACTTTGTTAAATACTTGGACCTTTTTTCCAGTAAAATATAAATTTTTATTAAGGTCAATTAATTTTTTATTGAATTCTGAAGAAATAAATTGATCCGAGGAAAAATCGAAGTTAACTTAACGGAACATTGTGGAAAGGGGCAAATAACTAAAATCCTGTTTCTGAGGTAAAAACAATTGGTAAATATCTATCTCCAATGTTGAACTATTAATAAAACTTTTGTTATCGTATTTTCTTATCCTTATGTGTAGTGAGTGACGTAATCTATTTCATTTCATTGTGATTATTGACTCAAATTGCCTTGATTGCTTTAACACTTTCATATAAATATTTATGTTAATTAGAATAAAGCCTGATGACGATCTAATCGAATACAATATTGTTCGCTTATTATCTGTGTTGTTCTAATTTTCACAATGGGAATCTTTAATATTCTAAAATATATATTATCCCAAACTAATTTGGGACCTTAGCATATGACTGGACAAGGAACTTAGAAATTCTTATCAACAACCGATTATCTACATTCTAAAGCTTTTTACATTAAAAATTAACTAATCTACATAATATTCAATTGATTTTACATGAGAATTACAAATCAATGCCTATGAAAATAAGTGCCTAAGAAATTACGAGCATTTATGATTTTTTTCAAGTACATCGTAAAACTAAATATTGCAACCTGGAATATGAGATTAACATTAAAGTAAGTTCAAGTAAAAAGGAAGTTATGGAGTCATTTTATTACATTACAAAAACGGTTAGAGTAACGAAGAAAACGATATTATTCACATATATAAGTAGTATCTGTTATGAGTTAATCAGTTGGGGTATTATTGAAAACCAAGGACCACTCTTTAGTCATAGTAAGACAGTGAGTACTCACAATCCTGACAGCGATCGGATCGAACTGAAAACCTTCAGGTTTCATGATGAACAATTCACCAATGGGACCCCTTGATTAACATTCAATTAGAATTCCAATTAATTTCCTCTGAAACACGAATGTCACTCAATGACCCTGGTGATAAGTGCGACCAGACCAAAACGTGGCAAAAATCCATGAAGTCAATGATAACTGAACTGAGCCATGTTAATAGGCATAGACTAACTACCTCGTTGGGATCCACAAGACAATCCTAACCCATGATTAGAGACTTTGAATGACATGGCTCAAAATCGTTTGCATCGGTGCAGTTGCATTCATTCTTTCTCTTTTCTCAAATTCTAATATTCTGAATTCCTCATGACCTTTTTTCTTTTTTCTGAATTGATCAGACAGGGATATACTTCTCGAATATTATCTTCGATTGCTGCTAATACTTCTAATACCTCTACTACTACGATATTTGAACCGACAATAGCACCTCTGTTCTAATGTGGTATGGCAACTCGAACTGATATACATACACACACCAAGTTCTATGTATGATTGAATACTGGTGACTACTGTCACACGTTAATTATCTTAGAAGTCTGTCTTGATCGGTCAATTAACTTATTTTAAAGTAAATTGGTCAAAAATCTTCAATGATTCAAGCTGTCATGCATATGGATAGAAATAATAAGACGATACAAAATAATTAGCGATTTAAAGATTTTAGTCGTTTTATTTAGATTCTCCGCTGGATAACTTTATGAAGTGACTTACAGTCATGGAAATTGTCATTCCCTTGATCGTTTAGTTTATTAATACTATTTTTGATGTTATTACTTAATTCTGTAACTTTAAGTAAATTAAACTTGACAGTCATTCAGTTACAACGTAGAACTTGGTACGTAGGTACATCAGTTCAAGTTGACATACTACATTAGCTCAGAGAGATCGAATGGTCAATTGAAATCTCATAGTTGTGGAGGGACTAGAAGTCTTTAGAGGTAATCAACAAGATTAGTGATCGAAGATATTATTCAACAAGTATATCCCAGTGAGATCAATTCAGAAAAGAGAAAAAAGGTCATGAGGAAAACTGAACATCTTTTTACCAGATAAGTAACCACTCTAAAATATTAAAAAAAAAAACAGACAACAAACCTTGTTGCAGCATTGTGAACGTGATTTACCATGCCTAAACTGCGAGCGAAATCTCGACCATCTCCGCTTAGACTGGATACAACATTCATAAGAGATGATTGATAACCTGTGTGGGGAGGAGCTGGGGGTGTTCCAACTAAATTAGGAGGTCCACCTAGAGTCATATTTTCAGCAGCCTGTAGGTATGAAATTAAACAAGTTATTCAGATAGTTTACGATAAGCAGTTAGTTACACTGATTATTGTTTATGCGGTAGGTACATTCTTTCGTAGTTATTACATAATCTCAAATGGATAATCTACATGGATTGTATTAAAGATAACTCAACAAACTTATATTAAATTAGTTAGCGAATCAAAA